GGACATGTCCGGGGAAAAGAGGACGTATGGTCACCCTAATTTATAATCTATTGCTAATCGATGTATTCTTATGGAAAAAAAAAAAAAAAAAAAAAAAGAGACATTGGGAAAAGGAGGGGAATGAGAGAAAGGAGAGGAGGAAAGAACAGATGCACAGCTATCAGTTACACCAATAATGTACAGTTGCTTTGATAAACAGAGGCTTTGAGAATCCCATCATTATAAACTGTTTCTGAATAAGTCCCTTAAGTTTGCTATTGCTTTAGTTTTTATTTTAACATGACTTCGGCTAACACATGCTTGACCAAATTCCCTACTTTCCCATATATGCTGTAAAATATAGGATTACTAACACCCTCTAACCTCATTGTTAACAAAGCAATAAACCTTCTTTCATTTTAAGTTATTTAAAAACAAATACATCTTGGGAAAAAGGGTTTTCCTGGTACCATTGACACCTGATTCCTCTCTGGCTTGGCTATGGCCCAACCGCACAGCAGTGTGCACTGTATCTAGGCAACAAAGGTCCAATCAGCGGAGGCTGAGGAGTGAGGGTGAGATACGATCACAATTGAGCGTGCTGATTGGCCGGCTGACTGGAACTGCACTTTTTGTTTCAATAGCTGTTTTTGGCTCTTGTGGTGGGAATTGTGATTCAAATGGTCTTTGAAAAAGTCTTTAAAGTTTTTGTTGAATGTTCAGGAAGCAACAGAAGTCTGTGGCAAAAAACTCCTGGTGTCCAGACTGGCTGGGGAGATGGCATCCACACTTTGAACCAATAAGAAACACATGACGTTTGACAAGCCAAAATTCCGGTAATAATCGGTCACAGCATTTTATCATCTGCATCAAGTCCTGTGATGTGTAGGAAAAGAGGGTTTTCCTTTCTTAATGTTTTGCAAAGGGTCTCAACTCTGGTGCCATCCACAAGTTCATCTGGGAATTTGGTTGAAATTCTCTGAAATATCCCATAAAGTCCATTTGTAGTAAAAGTGTCAAGAGAAGTCCTTTATACATATACATATATATAAAAAAAAAAGTATGGCTGTTGACAAACTGATGAGACAAAACGAAAGGAAAAATAGTTTGTAGTAAATGAGCCCATAATCCTCACTTCATTATCTTAGATTGTTCAACTCAATGAGATCAGTCTACAGGCATGTGAGAAACAGCAGATGTCTGTGTAATGAGTCTCTGCAGATATCAGTTCATTCGTGTACTGAAGTGTGGGTAAAAATAGCAGGCAGCATCAAGACAGCTGTGTTCCCATCATGCTGACAGGAGAAGTCCATCTGATGCTTGCGTTTGGCCAGTGTAAACGCTTTGAAAAATGTCTCTGTTGTTAAGCATCATTCTTTCTTTGGCATAATACATCTGGCGCCTCCCCCGTCTCACCAGCTATTTCGGCTTCTCTTAAGCATTCCCATCAGGAGGACACATCAGTTTTGTATGACGAGGCAGTGGCCAATACTCCGGCAGGTTCCGTCAGGCTAAGTATGCAGTGGCAACTCTGGGGGCCTAGTTCAGGTACAGCCGAGACGCTTGGGCATAGCGGGGCAGGTGATGGAGGTGGTAGAGGAGAAGAGGTGGTGGCAGTATGCAGGTACCAGTATGAGCAATGGAAGAGGGGAGGGCACCTTCACAACAAAGCAATCAATGGGATTTTAAACCACAAAACAGTCATACTACCAGATCCAGAGATAAAAAGAGAAAGGCAACAAGAGTGAGAGAGACAGGGGCAGAGAGAGAGAGAGAGAGAAAAATAGCTGGAAAAAGAGAGGACAGAGAGAGACTAGAGCCTACATCTCAAACTACATGTTGCCAGGGTCTTATCATTCTGCTCACTACAACTCAAATACACACTGCACTGTTTAACTAAACACTTATGGCACAATATATGATAAGGATTTGTTTTATAAAGGGGTGATTTTAGATGTAACTTCTCAAAGAATGGTTATTAGTCTTGGAACTTCCGAAAAGCAGTTGCCTCTCTAAACTTTTATAAAGTACCAGTTAAAAATATTTGTTAAAATCATTTAACAAATAAAAAAATAATTGATCTCATTGATGGATGACTAGTTGGCCATTTTAACTTGTCTCAAAATCTTTTAAGCTACAACAGGATTTACGTTCAATACAAAAAGGTATAAAATCTGAATGTGTTAAACGGCACTTTTAAAATTAGCACTGATTCATCCTCGTTCACACACAATGACCTCAACAGTGTCTAATTTCGAACATTATTAGGTATCCACATCCCCCAGACACTGCTGCTATGGAGTGAAAGGAAAAACAGAAGAGGATAATGGCAACAATAGTCTTATATCCAATCCTGAATTAAATCTAAAGACAGACAACAAATTTGAAATCACCTCGACTCCAAACGGTTCAGCTAGAACTGCCTTACAAACTTCAGTTACCCCAGCCAATATTTAAGAGTTATAGTTTCCACTGGTTCTTTGTACTGTGGGCCTTCTTACCTCCTCTGGGCGGGTGTTGCTGGAATCTGCCCCCTGGTGGTCAGACTGTTGCATAGCACTCTCTGAATGAGAGCGGCTCTCCAGTTCCATAGCAACTTGGCCTGCAGGCTCAGAGAGAGCTTCCTGCTTTACCTCCCTAGAGAAAGAACAAGAGAAAGAGACAGAAAGAGAGTGAGGGGTAAGGTGGCTGAGGCTGGTTGATCGGTGTCACGCTATAAATAACAGCCTGGCTAAATGACTCTCACTGCCAGCATCACACATACATACATAAGCTGGTATATGCCATGGTAATAAAACTTGAAAACATTGAGGGAAAATCAAATACATGTGTATCTTTTTAAATGTGTAACCAAGGTCCGTATACACCAGGGCAAGTCAACTCCTGTCCTGGAGGGCCAGTGATCTGCATAGTTTACTTCCAACCCTTATCCATAGTAGGGATATGCCGGTATCAAATTTTCATGTTGCGATTAATTGCTAATGCTTTTAATCACGGTATACGGTATTCTCACGATATTGAAATTTAGTTTAAAAAAAAAACGTGCTGTCATAATACAGTATAACAGGTTTAATAACTTTTGAAATTGCACTTTAATCCAGAGCGTCTCTCACATGTTCAGCCATGTGCTTCTCGTCGGCGCTTATTTACATCAGAGTGCGCACGAGTCTTTCACGCAGCATACAGAGGTGTTGTGCATTTTGACCAGTTGATGGGAAAAGTATTCTTAAAATGCATTCAAAATTCTGAATAATTCGTTTATGGGAAAAGTATCCTTAAAATGCATTCAAAATTCGGAATAATTTGTAATATATAATTATTAACGGTATTTAGAAGTGCCCACGATAACAATATCGTGCATATGCATTACCGTGATATATCGCATTACCAAATACCGGCACAAGTCTAATCCATAGTCAGAGATATCGCCTATGGCTGATGCCTTTGACGATAAAACGCAATTTTTTTTTTTTATTATTATCAGGCTACTAATACCATCTAATTAATATCAGAGCTTATTTGCTCCACATTTCTTTTTCTGCATTTTTACAGTGTTGCTTGTTATAACCAATCACACATGATTCCGTTGAGTTTATGAATGCAATGGCCAATCAGAGGTATTCAGATGAGTCATCGCTGAAAAACCAGAGTTTTGTTGTTCAGTGTGCGTTCGCTGACTGAATTCTGCTCTTTCCCATAGATGTACAGAAGTGCAGATGTATGTGCGATGTAAGTATAAGAGATTTATTCATCATACAGTGTTGATAGCTTCAGTGATTATAACGGGAATGTTTTTTTAAAGTAAATAAACTCGCACTAGACTTAAGTCAGTGATGTTCTTTCTGATAATGCTAATGTTCTTTGCTCGTTTTCTGTAGCTGCTGTTTGAATAACTGAGGAAATGTAAGATTATTAGTAGTAACTTACAATGTTTCTATTAAATTGTTTTGTAAAATACCAATTCAGTCATATTAAAAATATTTTATGACATGACATCCTAACATTAGGCTGCTATTAGCCTTACCCTGGAGTTGCTTCACTTTCCGGCTATGGAGCTAAGTAAATAATTAAATAAATTAGCATAATATTGTGTATCAGCGTATGGAGCATTTCGCCCAACACTAGTAACATAACTGCAAAAAGATTAAAGACAGGAATATAAATGCAGTGCATTTATGAATCACAATACCACCAATATGTAGTACAATATATATATAGTAAAATCTCAGCATGTTAATAATGTATCACTGTATGCCAAGCATGCTGTTTCAATGCATCAAGGTCTTTAATAATACAAAAGATACAATAAAAATCAAGCAAATGGCCCCCTTGAGGTTCTGCTTGTGGCCCTTGAGCTTTCCACCAAATAAACTTTCACTACTGAGGGGCATCACAGTCCAAATACACTACAGTTCAAAAGTTTGGGGAGAGTTTTTAAAGAAATTAAGACTTTTATTCAGCAAAGATACATTAAATTGATCAAAAGTGACAGTAAAGGAGACATTTACAATGCTACAGAAGATATCCGTTTCAAATAAATGCAGTTCTTTCAAACTTTGTTCAAAAATCCTGAAAAAACTAGCACCATTTTCAACATTGATAATAAGAAAAGTTTATTGAGCACTAAATGAGCAGAATAATTTCTTTAGGATCATGTGACACTGAAGACTGGAGAAATGACTGCTGAAAATTCAGCTGTTCCATCATAGGAATAAATGACATTAAAACATTAATATAGTTACCCAAGTTATTTACACTTCTTAAAAATAAATAACCTCACCGATGCCAAACGTATGAAAAAGTAGTGTACATCCGAAGACCTTCACAACCAATCATCAGCTATCACAATAATAAAACTGTTTAAACACATAATAGACTTGCCGGAATTATATGCAACACTTTTGATGTTAACAATGTTAAACCACGGCAAACAAAGTGCTGACAGGGGAAAAGATTCACTAGCTCCTGACATTCCCGTACCTACAGGTGATTCATCACATTCATTGTTCTATAGATAACCAATCCATCTCTCTCACACATAAACACACACCTGTGCAGCACACCTTGGCACCGTGGTCTCTAGAGACACAACAGCCCTGATGCCATTTGCTCGAAGGAGGAAAAACTGCCTCTGGGTTCTCAGAGCACAAGGCTTTCTCTTTGTATTAAAGCAGTCAACACATGCTGAGGGGAAGGGGGGCGGGTAGCCAGATCCCTCGTGGACAAAAAAGCCAAGTGCTTAGAATACTTAACATTTACACATGAATGCAAAGCTGGCAAGCACCAAGAGGAAAACCTGAAAGACTGAACTACAGTAGCCTCAAGAGTTCATTTTCCATGCATTAAGACGCTTTGTAACAGTTAATGTAGAATACTGTATTCGGACTGATTTTGTCAGACTGGCATTTTTCAAAGTGTGATCTCTTTAGCTTAAAACACATTTTTGTTATTTTCCGTCACTGATGTCATTGCTCACTAGGGAACATCCCCTTTCCCCTTGAGGACTTTCAATACCTAGCATATGAATACCATATGATTTGCTTTCCTTCAAAGAAAATAGTTGAAACCTAATACACAGCTCTATGCGGACCACACAACTCATTTGGATCACGAAACTTACCTTACCACACTATTAATTTTAGCATTAATAACAGGTTTACTACGCCTAACTGCTTACATAAATGGTTACACTGTTAAATGGGCTTAAGTGAAACGTAAGCGGAGTTAACATTGTTTTATTCATAAGATGATATGTTGCAACCTTTTTCAAACAGGCCATGGTGGACACGGTATCTCAATTACTAATTTAAGACAACATGCATCTCTCATGACTAATAATGCCCGAGAATTGCCCACATCTTTAATGAACCCAAGTGCCTGAACAATATCCCCTGCCCCAACATCATGACGAAAACGCCTGCGTTTCAAAATCTACTGATACCCATATCAAAAGCATTTTTTGGGCATCATATGCGCCGTCTGATTCAATCCGATCATTATGACGCCAAAAATGCTGCCTAGGTAGGCAGCTCACTGGGTCTTAATACACAGCTAAAAGCGCTGTCGAGACAGCATCGAAAATGAAATAAAACTATATTTCGTTTCACATTTAACTAAAGAAAATACAGGGACCACCGTACAAACACAATCGCTTAAGCTCATATTATAAATGTCTATCACCTAAACGATATGCCGACCCAGCCCTGGAGGGTATTTCTAGAAACCACCTCTCCCTCTCTCAAACCTTACCCGTTTTTGTTGCCGTCCGACAGCATAATGTCAGGCTGTAACCGGGACCGCGACGACCGTTTATACCGGTTCTGCCGGTCAAAGATGCGTAGGAAGAAATGTGAGAAGCGGACGCGCAGCAAGGCTGTTTTTTTTTTCTCTCTCTCTCTCTCTCTCTTGTGCAATGCGTCGGTATAGTCACGGCGGCGCTCACAGAGCAGCCATATTGAGTAGCGCTAGGGGAAGTATGAGAAGTACAAGCAGGAGCGGACGCGCAGCAAGGCTGTTTTTTTTCTCTCTCTCTCTCGTGCAATGCGTCGGTATAGTCACGGCGGCGCTCACAGAGCAGCCATATTGAGTAGCGCTAGGGGAAGTATGAGAAGTACAAGCAGGACCCCTCCTCCAAGGCCACGCCGGTGTATAGGCTGTCGTTTAGAACGCCTGATTAAAAATACAACCGCCTTCATATTCCATTTTCCAAACAGTCAAATTAACTATTACGTGGACGGGTTTTAAGTGGTGTTTAGATAAGATATACTAATAATTGTCGAACTGTTGGTTTCTTACGTTTAAAATAAACATCCAATTTGGTTTAGTTTTTACCCAAAAACGAAAATTCCGTCATTATTTTTATATACACCATCATTTATAATTTTCTCACCTTCGTGTGGTTCCAAACCTATATACATTTCTTGTGCAGGAGAAACGTTCTTTCTTCTGCAAAAAAATGTTTGTAACCAAACCGTTTTGTCTATTGTATGGACAAAAAAAAAATGCACCGAGACATTTCTTAAAATATTTTCTTTTATGATCCACTGAAGAAAGAAAACCATACAGGTTTGGAATGACATGTGAGTAAATGAGACAATATTAATTTTGTGGGTGAATTATCCCTTTAAGAATTGTCTTATTTCTGCATACATTTACATTAATTGTGATCAGCTTTTGTGTGATTTTTATTTGCATTTTCAAATTTCCTCCAAACTGATGATGACTGATCCACACTTACTGGAAACATTTGGTTGCTGTTCTGCTGCTAAAAGGGGTTACACCAGTTACTGAAAAGCGAAGGTTCAAATACTTTTTCACTGTCAGATCATTTTACTTAATACATTATATATTTCCACTTATTTGTTTTATCTGGTTCTCTTTATTTGGTCACATGACTTTAAGAACTGATCACAATGTAGGTCAAATTTACACAGAAATACAGACTTTATTTAGATTCTTAGTTAGTTCTAACTTTCTAGTGTCACTTCAGAAATCTTGTTCAATAAACCCTGGGATCTAAAAACATTACTAGTATATAAAATAAGGAGAAATGTATTAGGATGTTGTTGGTTTCATTTCTAATTATTCATCAGAATTGGTGGCCTATGCCCTAGTCAGGGCCACGGGTATAAAGAAAAAGAAAAAGAAAAAGAAAAAAGACGTAGCAATTCTGTCACCAATCTGTGCACAACAATGATTGGTCAGTAAGTGTATCATAAAATCTAATGGCTCTTCACACTGCATTTTTAACATTACTGAAGACATTACCCAATACAGCATTTATTTCCCCTACATGTCATTAATAAGAATAAAGAGAAAAAGACCAAGGAGGACTTCCATCTGCTGGATGTCCTGGTGAGAAGCCCTGAATGAGGCCAAATGGGCAATCTCACTAAACTATGCATGACAACAGACAGCAGCGTTTTAGCTCATGCACTTCTGAGCTCACACATGCTGGGGTGGTCCTGCATTTAGACAAATTTCTGTGATTCCAAAGATGGCAAATGGGAGACAATGGTTATGAAAATCAGTGAAGTGTGAAAGACAATTAGAAATGTGTGTTACTTGAATGGCAAGCATCCCACACATTTTGACCAATGAACTTCTGTGACTGTTCCAGTTATTTGAGCTCAATGGAAATTCATTTAAAAAAAACATTACACAGATTAAATATGTAGAGAGCATACACAGAAAAAACATTTATCATAAAACATATTTTCCTGGTTTTTGCATTATCATTGAAAGCAAGGAGTTTTTTTTTGCATTACATTACATAAATACTTCAAAATACACGTATAGTAGGAACAGATAGACATTACATTATTTTTCTTAAATGACAGATGACCAGAACAAAGTCAAAAAGGGAAAATATATTCTGTCTGAGAATTAATTTTAATTGCATTTTATTTTATTTACAGCTTATTAATAAATAAGCTGAATGTTTGCATTGAAACACACTGAAAGCATTGTGTTTTTGTACCTGTACAATGCAATGTAACTAGAGGTCGACCGATTTTACCGATAGCTAGGTTGGACCACACTGGCCGATACGGATTAATCAACTGTTTAAAAAAAAAAAAATTTGTTCTTTACTATTAAGCCCAAAAAAAAGAACCATACTTTATAAACAAATACAAATATTAATATTAAATATTATTAATTATATACTGATCATTAAAGTTAGTTCATAGTTCATTAACTAATGTTAACAGAAGCAACTTCAAAATTTAAAAATGTATTAGCAGTTGTTGAAATTAACACTTTTAACTAGATGGCCATCTTTAAATCTATACACAAAGGCCATAGCATTGAAATTACATCCATTTGGATATTGTATGTATACTCTCACACTTTAATTGCTTCTATTCTAGAACGTGATGATTATCTAATCAAAATAACCCGAGGCAAAAAGCGCAGTGCCGCGCAGACAACTCGCAGGTATCAGGGATCTCACACACACACCTGACGAGTCATGTTCAGTTCAAGCGGCGGTCTAAAACAGTTTATTTAATCACCAAACGGGTAAAAGTTCACTTGAAGAATGATCAAAAAAGTGGCATAGATGAGTTTGAAGTTCAGTGTTAAACGGAAAGAGAAAGCGCGATCTATATTATAGCTCTCTATATTATAGCTCTCTATATGAATCATACAGACTTTATTAGAGCCACAGAAAGACAAACGTTTCGCTGAAAAAATGCAACATTTTACTGCCTAGGGTGAAGTCATTATGTACATTAACAACAATTTGGGACAAATATAATGTCATTTAATGGAAAACCGTGTGAATGGTGCTCTGTTGCGCGGCAGGATTTCTGTTGGCTGAATGAACACATCAATTTGCTTTCTCATTTCACAGCTTTAAATCTGCAACTTCACTGGATAACATGCATTAATGTGACAGCTGGATATAAACTAATGCAGATGGATGGGAACAATCGTGACATTAAATCTTTCCCCGCCAGCATTTTTGAAAAAAGTTGGCAGCCACCGCCAGAGATTTTGATGATTTTCACTCAAATTTGATTCCTCCAGTATATTTTGCTGTATGAATATTTGAATATGCAATACACCAAAATAAAGATCAGAGCCTCTACTTTTAAACAAAAAAATCTGTTTTATTCTAGCTTAAAGCATTCTTTTTTTTTTATCAACACTTGAATATAGGTAGGTTTCATAAAAATGCATAATTTTGAGCAAAAAGGTGAGAAAATCATTTTTATCAAAAACTACATCTGGATAAATATTCAGTACGATTATCAAAGCATAAATCCAGTAGATCGCTTCCATCAACACCTCCAAAGATTGCACAGACATATACCACTTCCTGGATCAACATTTTACTCTGTAACATTATGCAGTTTTCATTTATATGCTGTCTATCGCTGATGATCGCATTATTTTTCATATGCATCTGTTTACATAAGAGATCGCTAGTTTCTCCATCCTGTTCACGTGTGTTTTTGTTCGGGAGGTTTTGTACTCAGCAAACATACTGCTGTCCTTTCTCCACTAATGCAGCATCTAGTCAACAAATTAATTACTTAGTAATGATGTGAAAACATGTACTATATTATACTGTATACACACTGTTTCGTTGTGTTTTAAATCTTGTGTCTGAAGTGTCCAGCGCAGTGTCACGTGTCAAAACAAACAGCATGTCGGTTCAGTGACTCCGCCTCTAAAGGCCACTCTCGCTCTCGTACTGTATGACAGCAGCTCAGCCACACCAGCAGCGGACGGAACCCGGAAAAACCATCGGCATGGATTTTTGCCGATAGTTCCAGCAATCAACTATCGGTGCCGATTAATCGGCAAAACTGATACATTGGTCGACCTCTAAATGCAACTGTGTATGAAATACTTTACTGACCTTGAAGATTGAGCCTTTTTTTCTTTTTGAACATCCTTTCTTCTGTTCTCTTCCTCGTCCTGGTTTGGAGTAAAGACATTTTCATCAAAATTCATATTAACAATGACTTCATTCCATTATGTACTTTTTATTGTTTCTATGAACTCTCTCTCTGTTTGTCCTCAGATCACACTACCAGTGTGAGAAGTTGTGCTGAACTCATGTACACCCAGTCAGACTGGTGCATCAGTATTAGCATGGCAGGCTCATCATCAGAACATAGCAAAGGTAGAAGTAACCAACAGAATTAAAATACATAGGTTTGATAAGCCAGTTACACACCTTCTTTTGGCTGGGTGGGCTGGATTTGTCCTGTGAAGGAGAGCTTGAAGAGTGAGAGGATGATGATTCTGAATCGGTGTCAGATGATGGTGTCTGACTTGGCATTGATGAGCGTCGTCCATGACCTTTTCCTCTCCGTGAACGGTCTCTTGTTTCATCCATTTCTCCTTCTTCAGATGTAGAGTGTGGCGATTTTAGGGCCTTTTCACTTTCTTCTGCTGGTTTAGGTGGCTTTTTCTCTAGAACTTTCACTTCTTTGTCTTCCTCGTGTTTTGATTCAGAAATCGTTGTAGAGGCCTCTGTCTCCATAGCAATATCCTCAGAGCACTTCAGTGATGTGAGGACTGACACCTGCTCAGGATTGGAGGATGACGTAAGTGAATCAGGTGGTGGAACCTCTGAGAAAATGTGTGGACTTCTAGGTGGGAAAGTGGTGGGTGACGTCAAATGGAATGGTGCAGAAGTCTCATCCACTTTCTCATTTTCTTTTTCCTCACTTTTTTGCTCATCTCTCTCCAACTCAGAGTCTTGAGCATCTTGTTGAGCAGGGGGCATTGTGGGTACTGACACAGACACCTCTGACCCGAGAAGCTGCTGAGCCGAGTCTTGCACTTCTGCTTTACCATCTTCCTGCTTTTCAACTTCCATCTCTCCTCCCTCAACCTCTACCTTCTGTGCACCATCAAACATACCCTCAGATTCCATTTTGCGGACCAGCAGGCTAAGTGGTCCAGGTCTGCGTGTGGATGGGGGTTCTGGGCTGCTGGATCTAGAACTGGAGCTGGACTCCTGTCTTTTGAGGGATGGAGGAGAGACCATGCCTGCCCCTGGAGCAGCACCTTCTGCTAGGTCTGCTGGCTCATCTTGGTCACGTGGGCTCTGTTTGGGAGTGTCAGGCAGCGGGAAAGACAGCTCTGGAGGTGGAGATGGGGGAGGAGTAGGTTGACGGAGCTGCAGAGGCGGCTGGTGGACTGGTTGAGGCTGGGGAGGGATGTGCTGTGGTGGCTGAAGCTTTCGGCGGGATCGTTGGGGGGCTGCAGCTGGTGGAGTGTGAACAGGAGGAGTCCGGATGCTCTTTTTCCCATGTGAGGTAGGACCCCACTCATCATCATCATCACTGTCATCCTCATCATCCTCATCATTATCATCACTATCAACTTGAGCACAAGCTGCAGCCCTCGCGGAACGGCTGAGCTGCAACACTGAATGGGCAGGACCTGCTTCGACCGGGGCAGTTCCCTCTCTCTCTTGTGAACGGGGCATCATGAGAGGCAGGCCTTGACGCTCAGGTTGTCCAACCACGCGCACAGACAAGGAGGCAACTGCACGTGGAGGAGAGGGTGTTGCGACCTCCTCGTGGCCAGGAGGGAAAGAAGGATGCCATATCCTTCCAGCTTTAGTGTCAGGTGACTCGTGTGACACTGGAACAGGGCCTGTATCCAACCTATGTGATCCCATTAACCCAGGGTCCTGTGGCAACCCTCCTCCACCCGCCTGGGTTGCGGACAGATGAGAGTGTACGATGTGATGCTGAAAAAAACAAATGTAAATGAAAGATCAAACACATACATAAAAGCTGAGCAGATGTTCCCAGACCTTCAATTTCGAATTATTTATTCAGTAGTGATAACGTCATGTAATCTAATAAGCAATCAGAGTATGACTGCTTAACAGTCCATGAAAACTGCCTAGTATATCCTCAGAGCACACTGCAAGTGTGAGAAGTTTAGTTGAACTCACTTACACCCAGAGTAACAGAGTCAAACTCTGGTGCATCAGTATTAGCATGGCAAGCTCATCATTGGAAATACAACATGAGAATAGCAGACTCTCCACCGTTTCTACATGACTGCATACATGTGGTGTGAATTCTGACTGCTTGCATAGAAAACCAATGCTGTCATTGAAGGTAATGTTTGTTCTGGACAGCTGATCTATACTTCTCTAGTACATTACATTCCACAAATCAAATCAGCCTGTGTATTTACTGATCAAATAAATCTGATAGAGGGCACAACTGTACTACTCTAACTATAACTTTTCTTTGTGCAAATATTTAAGTCAGTTTTATACAAATGTGTGTGCTTACTTTCTCTGGCAGAAAAGAAGTGCTATCTTTGGTTGACATGTGTTCATCCTTCCCAGGGCCAGCAGGACTCTGTGTCTCTGAAAGCAGCATATTGAAATGGTCATGCACAGAGTTTTTTGAAGGTGAAAAAAATGTAATCAGCGGTAAATCTCCCATCACCTGCGTGCTTTCACATTGAGCAGCATTAACTACACAGAGCCGTTGTTCACTGACGAGCAGCGCAAAAAATCACGCGAATATGAACTTGGTTTTGCGCAACTCGTCAGTGAACAACGGCTCTGTGTAGTTAATGCTGCTCAATGTGAAAGCCCGCAGGTGATGGAGATTTACCGCTGATTACAGAACCGGCTTTACTGATAAGATGCGCGTTAAATATCGCATGCAATTTATCGTGCAGCTCTACTGTATGTTAAGAATCTCCACACAGATGGTGTAGTCAAGTCAGTGTTATAACCCGTGTGTATATGCACATGTGAGTCTGCTTACCATCTGCCTCAGTGGCCTCTCGGGCTTCTCTCTCCAGTCTCTGTCGGAGGAGCTCCTGCTGTTTGGCCAGGTACTGCTTTATAAAGCTGTTCTGACTCATCTCCTCTCCAATCTGACACATACACAGAAAGAAACTCCAATCAAGGTCATCTCATTCACAATTCCTGGAGCCAATAAGCATGACAAACATGCAGTAAGCATGTAATAGATATTCAGAGGCTATGTGTGACATATTCGTGTGATTAAAATGAACAATTTATTTGATGCCAGTCTCACTAATTTAATAATGCAATTTTGTATTTTAACATTTAAAAAATGTTATGGATAATCAAGTAAACCCAAGTTGCTTCACTACGGTTAAATTTATGGGCATTTTTAAAACATACTAAAAGGCCCTTTACTTACTAAAAAGTATCAGCTATCAGTAATAGATTATAGGCTACAGGTTGTGTGCAACAAGTTTTGACCATGTTGATAATTTAGAAGACTTAGAAATTAATGTAAGCTTTATAGATTTTTTTAGGAAGGCTGAAGTTACAATGTAGTCCAGTTCTACATTTGTTGAAACATCTAAACCACCTAAGACAGTGACTTAAACTATAATTCTACAAATCTATAAATGACACAAACGAGAAGAAAGGGTTAAAACGTTTCTTACCTGAGAGTTGGGCTGAAGACCAATGTGATGGGTAGATGTTCGTTGGAGATTCTCCAACATAAGAGCCTTCACAAACACAGCAGATGATGCACATCAAAAATACAGCTATAGAAAATAGGCCTAACACATCAAACTTAGTAAACAAACAGTAATTTTCGTAAACACTCTGTTTAGGTTCCTAAATCTGATGGAGCGTGTTGCTTGCGATACAAACCTATTCAATACACTGTTCGTATAAAGAAAAGGTCCGAAAGCTTTGAAAAATATCTCACGACTTACCCGAGCAGCACAACATGACTGCTTGCGATTCGATACAAGAGTCAGTGTGAAGAAGCGTCGTTGAATGAAGTGATTATATTAACGTTAGTTGTGGGAGTGGCATTAGCCTTTCACATTATTCACTACGTTAGCACATACTTAGCAGATGACTCCGTTAATCTGACAGTTTACCGGTCGGTCGTTATGCTAATTGTCGATGGAAAATAGGACCTGAAAGACAGTCTCTCACGTGAATGTGATTTTGAACGAGTGAAAGAAGTGTGAAATACTCCGACCCTCTAAAACGCAGCATTTAAAACCAAATTAGTTGAGTGATTTACATAAAATAGCCTATAGGAATTGCCCAAACTTGATTATCGAGCGTGAGTATCATCTGTAACTTCATTTTTACATTGTAGAAACTAATGGTTATTTCTACCATGTTTATAAATGTTGTGCAAGTGTCCGACGCGAGACTGGCAAGCGCGCGCCCCCACTGCAAACATGCGACGTCATGACCCTCCGACTGTTTAGAAAACATCAGTATTGCTGTATTATTTAAATTACGTGTTGTAACTGCATAAGTAATGGAACGCAATTGCTGTGCGACGCGGTAAACGATTCAAACTAGCCGCACGGACTCGACAAACATTCCCGCTCTCGAAGCAGCGATACTTGGCCTGCCTTTCGGGTCTCGTCTCTTACTCAACTTGTCAGCAAGCGCACGGTTTTAAGCCCGCCCTTTGACCAAACTCACCCCTTTCAGCCGTTTGATAAGTGCATTTTTCTGTCCACTTTTGGCGAGCCCTCTTTGCTCCAGGGCGGCTTTTAAATCCGCCACACGAAGCGAATGAAGCGGTTTGCCGTCTAACGTTACATCCTCGACTTCCGCCATTTTGCTTCACCCGAGCGCTCGAACTTCTGGGGTTGTGGCTAGAAGGGATACAGCAAAAACCGGAAGCTAACGATACATTTAATTTTCTACCTATTAGATTGTTTTATAAACGTCTACACCTACCCCAACCCCAAACCTACCCCTTACAATAATGCAAAAATAGTAATTATTGTTGTACAGTGTGAGAAAAATTACGCTATTGATGTGCGCATGCCCAGTAGTTTTTGCTGTATCTCCGGATAAAAACAGATACAAGTGGCCGCACTTTCAACGGTCATGAACGAAGCCTTCTGCTAGGTTTCTTGTAAATTGCAATCTGCATCCAGGTTATTTACAGCAACGGGTTAAAATTGCACGCTATCGTCATTTAATGTTGTGACCCCTGTGTTCTTTCATAAGTTACTACAAGAAGCATGCCTATTTCCGTTTCTAACACCATCCTAAAATGGTTTGCTGGTCTACCAGGATGTTATATTTGCTGGTTTAGAGGGGTTTTCAGGACTTTTCACCTGGTTAGGCTGGAAAACCAGTCGGCATCCCAACCAAACCAGCTGAACTTCAACTGGCACTGAAACATACTAAAGCAGGGGTGCCCACACTCGGTCCTGGAGGGCCGGTGTCCTGCAGAGTTTAGCTCCAACCCTAATCAAACACACCTGAAGCAGCTAATCAAGCATAAACATTTTAAACAAGAATAATATGACACAGGACAAAACAACTGAAATAACCACAACTCTATTCTGTAACAAAAATGTATTTTGAAGAATCTCACCATCTGACAAGCACCAAAGACTCCCTTATATGCAAAGTACCTGTGGAGTGTGTCTTACAAACAAAATGTCAAAATGAACATCAACAGAGTGTAAAGAAGCACAAAATATGCATGTCAAAAATACATTCTGGTACCAAATGAAAAGAAAAATCACATTCTTAAAGCAAACTTTTAATTATTAATGCAAAGTTGCATGAAACATCCCTGGTTATGTGTGCATAATTTTTCTTTAATAAGCAACTTAAAGCCATGCAGACGTTTGATTAACAAAATCAAATAAATATAATTATATAGGGCCATCAAATCTAAGCATTACTATAAGCACTTAATTTAAGAACTTGAGACAAACAAGATAAGTGAGACTTTTGATAGGAATGCTTGCTTGAGGACTATTGTATATTTGTAATGTTTATATATAGTTATTTTGTACAGACGGACAGGAGAGCTCATTCAAAAGCAGAAATTAAGAAGCTTAGTCTATCCACCAGAAAATTTTTAGAAGTGTACTCTGAAGTACCTGTTGAGGTGATGTATTCTTTTCTTTACTTATCCAAGTGGTTTGTGTAGTAATACTGATGAAGTCCACCAGATGGCGCTTTGAGTTAACTAACACACCAACACCAGAGTAAACCATCTAAATCAGCCTCAGGATTCACTTCACTTAATTGGACTTTTCAGCACCTTTTAACACTAAGTCCACTGCATCCATTGAGATAGGACTGACAAAAAAAATGAAAAACTAAAAAGGTCACTTTTTCAAAAAGGCAGTAATAAAGGTAAGGCTACTTGAGATTTAAACTATGACATTTTTTATGGCTGAATTATTAAATTGCAAGAGTCAGTAAATGTAAAGATGCAATGAACCAGTCAAACCGAACCAAAGTCGAACAGCAAGAATAACACTGACAGCACTGCACTGGTGGCCAGCATGTCAATCCTGAATATAAAGAGATGTGGGTATTTACAGACAAAGACGGGGGAAGGAGCCAGAAAAAGAGAGCAGATGGAGGAATGGGCTCTGAGACACAGACTATGAGGGCTATAAGAGTCTTGTAAACATGACAGTACATTTATGACACCGACTTGATTTTTCAAGAGAGGAGGGAAACAGGTGCATGTTTCAACCTGTGTAAGCACAGTTCAATGGGTAAGTTACACAAAGCTCATATCTTGTTTGAGTACAAGATTTTGTAAGCACCAGCATTTCAATGCCCACTATGGAAGCTACTAGATATATATTGCTGTTTTCAGAAATGCTGCATAGCCTATTTAAACAAAACAAAAAACCCTGTATGAAATTTATTGTGCAAGATTTGTTGCCCAAACTGCTTCACCATTAAGCTGCCTTTGTGAGTATGTGAAGAAACCGAATGTGGGAGTGTGAGAATTATGGGAAGAAAAAAATAAGTGAGTGAAACAAAGAGTGTGAAGAAAGAGGCTGAGTGGACCTGACAGACAGGTTTATCTCTGAATCAGCATTGTGGGGGAAAAAACTGATATCTCTCCAAAAAATTCAATAAATTGTTGAATCTCTCATTCAGAAAGTACCGTTTTTCTTCATGTCTGTTTAAATAATCTTGTTAAACGTTTGAAACTAGGTTAGCTTTATCTGTTTTGGTTACATGTGCAGCACAACTGAAACCTCCTGGGCTGTCAAATGAGTCACTTCAATCTCTATAACACCAAGGCCACTTCACATTTACAAACAAACTGAATAATTAGACCAGTTTACAAGAGCACCCTTAATTAAATACAGAAGACCACTTTTTCCTCATTGTTGTCAATATGGTTAAGGGGACAAAATAAAGCTATTAAAATGTGCCTGAGGTTGCAAACATCTTCAACAAAACATCCATCAATAAGTTATTAAAACGTATAAGTGTGCTTCGCACCACAAAAAAAGGAAAAAAGAAAAAGACCAGTCTGAAGTGTCAAAACCAACACAGGCAAGCAGATACACTCCAACATATACTCACCAACTGTTTGATCATTTTATCACTGTTGAACTAACACAAGCAGTGACATGATTTTGATGCATCCTCAAAAAAAAATAAATAATAATAATAAGGCATTCCACTGTGAAAACAATAAAGGTTAACCCGCCCACAAATAACATCAAGATATCTCAGCTAATCGCTGCAAAAGCCCAGAGAAACCAGCTGCATGCTGGGATAGATCGGCTACTCTGTCCACCATTTCTTGCGTAGCAGGGACTGAAGGATAATTCTGGGCTGCACCCTTAGTTGCCACGACAACAGCCTTCAGAGCTTGGCAGAGGCGTCCACTGGAGGTGGTGACCTGAGGAGACAAACAGTGTTTGTGTGTGAATGTCTTTAAATAATGTCACCTGTTTTGCTGGAAACTGACCCGTCAACATGTTTACCAAAAGCTTATTCACTTCCCAGACTGTTCATGTTGACTATTGCCCTTGGGTTATCAACTATGACTCACAATTTGATTTGTTGTGGCGTGAATCATTACATACATTCACTTGTAATCGAGAATTTGTACAAAAACACTTGAACAGAAACTCTCAATAACATTTCTAACCAGAGTATCTATGGTCTAACCTTTGCTCTGAGGTCTGAAGAGCTGAGAAGCCTTGCAAGTGTATCCCCAATAAAGACAAGTTTGTGCGCAGTCACAATGAGGCTTTTCCCCCTGGAAACGAAGACTCGAGGTGGTTGGTTCCCTTGGACACTTGTGAACAGGGAATCGATGGCATCGGCCAGGCAAGAAAGATGAGAGAGACTTTGGGAGGAGTAGAAGGAGAGCAGCTCTGAATCTTCCAGAGACAGAGAGACTGGTGGGGAAAGACTCAGCTGGAGAGAAACAGAGAACAGAGAAGATTATTCATATAAACTTACAAATCACTGTATATAAAGATATAGACCCTTACCTCCTTGAAAATACCTAAAAATGCATAATTAGAGGCCTACAGCATAGTTGCAAAGGTGACATTTCAGTATGTTATTTCGAAATTACTCTCTATAAAGTTTCATTAGGCTAAGTTGAAAGTATTTTGGAGAGGTTCAACTATGATTTAATGAATGAGCTCTGTTGTAAGTATAATTCTTCCAAAATTTAGAAAACAATTTTTTTCAACATGTTCAGTGATACAAAAAAATGCCAATATTAAAAAAAAAAAAAAAAACCCTGTGTAAATACAAGACATTATTTACACAGGTCTATAGGTTTTTATTTTATTTTTAATATTGGCATTTTATTTTATCACTGAACATGTTGAAAAAAATTGTGAGCACAGTACAGATCAAATATAAATACATTTACGTCCAAAAGTTTAGGACCAAGATTTTTTTAAATGTTTTTGAAAGTTTCTTATGCTCAGGAAGTCTGGATTTATTCAATTAAAATACAGTCATTAAATTAATTAAATTAACATTAAATTAATACAATTTAAAATAACTGATTTCTATTTTAATATATTTTAAAATGTAATTTATTCCTGTGATGGCAAAGCTGAATTTCCAGCAGCCGTTACTCCAGTCTTCAGTGTCACATGATCCTTCAGAATTCATTCTAATATGCTGAACTGGTGCTCTAGTAACATTTTTTATTATTATCAATGTTAAAAACAGCTGTGCTGCTTCATATTTTTTGTGGAAACTGAGATACATTTTTTAAGAATCCTTTGATGAATAGAAAGTTCAAAAGAACAGCATTTACTTGAAATAGAATTTATTTGTAACAATGTAAATATTTACTGCCACTTTTTATTAATATAGTGTATCCTTGCTGAATAAAAGAATCGTCTTTTAAATCTTATTGAAACCAAACTTATAAATGGTAGTGTATTTAGGAGATTGCAAAATCTGATCCAAATCAGTCAGCAATGGTGTCTGAGGTAAGGTATTATTTAAGTGTTACAATCTTTCTACAATGGCTTTTTGAGTGTTTAAAATGGAGTGGTAAGAAACAAAAAAAAACAGTGAAATGCAATGCAACAGACAAAGATGTCACTGTCACTGAAAGGTGTACAGTATATCAACCAACAATTAAAAATAGTGCAGACAAAATGCAAAAACACCTCCCGAGTGAACGGTCCTTTAGTGTGTGTGAGTTTTGGGAGTATAACAGACAATCAAAGACTTACTTTATTATCAGTTGTGGTGATAAACTGTGAAGAACTGTGCTCTGTATGGGTGTCTGGTGGTGGCTCTGGCTTCCCCTAAATCAGAACAACAACAAAAATGTAAATGTCCACAAAAAGAGAACTGCAGACCACAGAAATGTT